TTACTCACCTTCTATTCAACATATTCTATTATATATTCTAATATATATTATATATATATATATAATATATATTATATATATATATCTATAATATATATTCTATTCAACTCCTCGAAGCTACAGAAGACAATCTAGAGGCACTATATAAAACAGCGCTAACAATTAAATTAGTCGCCGAAGGTGCTCTTACTTTGACAACAACCAAGATGGCTAATACCACGCTCCCAACTTTTGCCGCAAGTTGTTGCCTTACAAAATCTTATTGTTACTGGTGCAGTAATGATCCACATCCAAAAATTAAATACCCAGCACAAAATTTCACCTGTACACATTGTCAAAGAAGGGGCTACTGGGGAACTGCTTGTCTCTCAAAGAAACAAAATAAAACCTACACTAAAACAGCAGTTGTTAAAAAATATCAGGAAGAAAACGATAATGCAATAATAATTACAGTCGTAGCAGCAATCGACTCACCTGGTAGATTAATTAATGTCACCGTTAACAAAGATATAACACAGGCATTGATAGATACTGACTCTCATAAAACTTTTATTACATCAGAACTTCAACATTGGAGCCTTTCTTATGGTACTCAAATTACCTCGAAGGTATTATTGGCAGATAATTCATTATTAAAAGTTAAAGGAATTCTCAGAGGCTCGTTTTTATTAGCTTGTGAAAAATTGAAAGTGCAATTCCTTGTTTTAGACAACTTGGTAGCACTGGTAATTATTGGAATGGATGTGTTAACACAACATGCCTCAATTACTATCAATTTAAAGGAAATAAAGAGCCCTTAAAATTTTGTCGGGTAACAAAGAGCATAAAGTATACTACTTATGCATGACAGGTTCCCAAAAAGAACTCCAAGGAGTTCTTTCTGGAAACTCCCTGGGATAAATCGTATGTTTTGTTGTATCATCAGGAATCGTCTTGTGATCAATTATTCAAATACAATCAATCTACACACTCTACTCGATTCATACCCAACATCCCAAATTGATGATTTGATACTTAAGGTAGCTGCTCATAAAGTCTTAAGTACAATTGACCTCAAATTGGCTTATCAGTTAAAAATATGACATGAAGATTACAAGCTAACCACATTCGAAGTCAATGGCAGCCTATACAAGTTCGAATGTTTACCTTTTGATTGCACAAATGATGTACTGATTTTTCAGCGGGTTATGGATGAATTTATTTAGACTAATAAACTGGAAAACCCATTTGCTTATCTCAATGATATAATTATTGGTGGAAAAGATGTCCAAGAGCATAATAAAATCCTAGCTGCTTCCTACACCTAGCTAAAATCGCCAACGTAGAATTAAACAAAGAAAAGAGCCAATTAAAAAAAACTCACATCGAATTTTTAAGCCAATAAAAAGTTGAACCTTAAAATCTGACCCGAAAAGATATGAAGCTCTTATGAATATGTCAGAGCCAAAAAACCTTAAAAGAATTAAACCAAATTAAAGGTTTATTTGCCTATTATGCAAAATGGATACACAACTGTACGGAGTTTATTCTACCACTTACTGAAGAAAGAAACAACTTTCTAACCATGGGCTTGACCCCACAGGCAAAAGAAGTAATTAAATAGCTCAAAATTAAACTTGTAAAGCTTGTCTAGACTCCCCTAACTTCAAAGTTCCGCTAACTATTGAAACAGATGCCTCTAACACAGCACTAGGAGGACCGTTACTTTAACTAGGCAGACCTATGGCCTTCTTCTCAAGAACACTAACAAATGCTGAAAGAAAACACACAATTGTTTAGAATGAAGCAGCTTCCATTTTCTACAGAATAGAATGCTGTAGAAAATGGAAGCTGCTTCATTCTCATGGAAACACTTAATTAATTCAGTACCATATATCATTATAATTACAGACCAAAGATCCATTTCCTTTATTTTCAAAAAACAGATTTCAACAAAAATTAAAAATGAAAAACTAACTCAATGGCGTTTAGAATTAATTATTCAATTTCATACAGACCAGGAAACCAAAATATCATAGCTGATGCCATGTCTTGATGTTGCTCGATTCAAAATACCAATAAAACCTTTTACAATATTCAATCCCAACAATGCCATTCTGGAGTTAAAAAAATGATAGATTATTGCAAAATCAGAAATCTGTCCTACTCTACCACTAAAATTAAACAACTAACAAGCCAATGTACAATCTGTAGTGAACTCAAACCGCGTTTCTACAAACCTCCAACTGGTCATCTTATTCAGGCAACGAGACCTTGAGGATGCTTGTCTTTAGACTTTTTCAGACATTTACAATCCACCACAGCTAATAAATACATTTTTGTGGTACTAGGCGAATACTTGTGCCATTTGCATTCCCTTGTAAAGATATAACAGCCATTTGCATTACCTTACCCATTTGCATTCTCTTGTAAAGATATAACAGCCAACCCTGTGGTACAACACCTTCTTATTCATTTTTTATTATTTGGTGCACCATTATCTATGCATACAGATCAGGGAACTCAGTTTGAAATTATAAAACTCAAAGTATTCCTAGAAAGAAACAGTGTCATCAGAATTCGAACTACTCCATATCACCCACAAGGCAATGATCAATGTGAACAAATGAATGGAATAATACTTAAAGCCTTGCCCTGAAAACATTGAGTTTGGGAAAAGATATATGGGAGGTAGCGTTGCAAATGGCTCTATCCTTCATAAGAGGACTTCTGTTTACTGCTAATAACAAAACACCCCACCAGAAGATGATGAACTTTCAGTGTTCATCAATAATACATACGGTTCTACCAAACTTCCTAACAAAGCAGGTTTCAACAATTTTATGCAGACATCAGATATGATTAAAAGGAGATCCACTTATCAACAGAGTTCAACTATTAGAAACACTGTCGCCCCACTTCTCACGTGTCAAACTTTAAAATGGAAAAATTGATACAGTTTCAACACAAGATCTTGCCCCACTAGAAGATGTAAATCCATTAATAGAACCAGTTCAACAACAGTCTGATGGCTCCAACAATGACAATATTGTCTTAAGTAACATCAGCCACAGTTCTGGAAATAGAAAACATGATGAATTAAATGAAATCAACAAAGTAGCTTCAAATCTACAGCATTCATTTGGAAATCCAATAAAGGATAGCATCTCTTATACAACAATACTTAACCAACCATCTAAACAAAAAGTTACTACTCCTGACACACAACTTAATATATCCTCAAGAACAGGACATACTATTAAAAGGCCAAAGTATCTCGATGACTACTTTCCTTCATAGAGTATTATCTGAGAGTAAACTATTACACCTTGTACTAAATCTTTCTTAAAAAGAGAAGACTATTTTATTCTTAAGAACTTTGTAAAATTTTTACAGTTATTTGTATTTACAGCATAATATACAATGCAATCTACAGACTTGATAATTTGTTCAAGCATGTTTTATTCCAAAGAGTTTTAATACATGACATCATTGACATTGTTGTTTGTTTCTTACGATCTTCTTACGCTAACAAAAAAGACAAAGCGTCATGTTCTGAAACTCTTTGGAATAAAAAACACTCGAATAAATTATCAAGACTGTGGATTGCGGCATATATTATGATCACTTTTAGGCCTACAATAAAACAAAGAAGGCAAGCTTCGACTAAAATAAAAAATTTAGTTTTTCTTGCCATTCATTTATTCTTTTTTTGAATCAAAATAATTTAGCCTAAACATTTTTTTTTTATCATTCTCTTTAAACACAACATGTCTCGGAGTTTTAAGATCCTTTTAAGATATGTAAAATTCAATGACTAATGAGTTTTTTTTAATATAAATAATGCTAAAATTATTTAATCAGGAAAATTTGTTTTACCGTATTTCTATTCACATAATTTTTGTAAACATAATTTAATTGCAAAAAAGTGTCTGATTAATTTTTCTAAAAGTTGATTAAAAAATAATATGCCTTTATAAATTTGGGTTACGTAATGTTTTATGAGAAGTTACATACAAAAAAACAAACACATGCACTGCTTGTTGCACATGCTTGATGTTTCAATATTTTATCTAATTTTGTACATTTATGTTTTGCTGTATAAACAAAAAAAAGTTTTCTAATTAATAATATTTGATTAAAACCAATCATTTAGTTGATTTTCTCAACAAATAATCTAATATCTATTTATTCGGCAATTGTTTTTTTATTTAGCTTTGCTAAGATGAATTTAATACCATATTTAATAAAATATGTTATTTTTTTTTTATATGAATAAATATATTTTATTATCAATACACTTTTAAAAATCAATAAAATATAATATTTTTAAATTATATTTTATTAATTTATATATTTAAATATTATATAATAATTTAGTTATATGCAAATCAGTTTGACAAAAATATCCATAATAATTTAAGTGCTGCAGATATTCTTGCAAAGTCTTTGCTTAGCGAATGATTATATTAAAGATTTTTAGTAAAGTAAGTTTTTTTAGACTATTTATATTTATTTTTTTTAAAACTAACGCATGCTCGTGGAGCTTGTGAAGATTTTTATAGGAATGTTTTAGCTTGATTTCTTTTAATTTTTTTAAAATCTAAAAGTTTGTAAAAAAAAAATGTGATACCTAAACAAAAATTTTTAAATGCTGCGTTTGTTTTTTAAGTTTTTAAATGAACATTGACATTTGAATAAAAAAACATTGACAAACTAAACAATCACTTTTCTGTAAGTTTTCAATAAAAGAGTGTATATTTCCACAAAGCAGTGTACATTTATTAATTTTTAAAAAATTAAAAAAGAAGTTGGAAATAGTTTATACTTGTAGAAAAAAAAAAAAATAATAATAATAAAGTAAATTTTTAAGTTGTGATTATATGTAGTTTTCATAACTGTAATGAATCTTATTTTGTATTATATATTACTATTTTGTTAGTGATATGATTTTTATTTTTTTTAGTTTTATGGTCATTAAGATATCTTTTAATGAGTAAAATAACATTTCTCTTTCTTAGATGAAAAGAACTTTTTAAACTCAAATACCAAGCGACAAAAACTTGATCAGAATATAATCCGACTAAAGATGTCGTCTGGAAAAATATTTGAATGTGAAGAAAGGTTTTTAAATGATAATTCTAATGTTTTCAGTAGTATGTTTTCTGCTCATTATACGGACTTTCTGCAGCCTCATGTTTCCATAATAGATATAGATGAAAATGCTTTTGAACAAATGTTGCATTTTCTTTGTGGATGCTCAATTCGATTAGATGAATATCCAAGTTGTTTAAACCCAGAGGTTTGCAAAGTGAAAACAAAGTATCCAATAATTACAGATAATTGTTTTGATTTGACTTCCATTAATGCAAAAGAACTTGAAACAAGTTTAAAAGATAAGAAATCCAAAATAATTACTACAAACCTTTGTATAAAACAAGAAAAATTTGAAACATTAATTACAAATTCATATAAACAACAAGAAAAGGATCAATCACTACAAGCAGAAAAAGAAACAATCACTACAAACACGTATAAGCAAGATTGTACTCAGATTGAGCCGCTATGTAACGTACCTATTGGAACGCTAAATACTCAATATGCAAGCGCTTTACTAATATGTTCTGATCGTTATCTCGTTGATGACTTGAAAAATCAATGCGAAAAGTATCTTATGTGTAACATTCATGACAAAAATGTAGTTGATTTAATGCTGTTAGCTATCAGACATAGATCGAACAAATTACTTAAACAATCTTTGACTTATCTTCTTTCATCTTGTGAATGTCCACTTCTTAGAAGTCAGAATTTTGCAGAACTGTTATATTCTTCAGAAAAGCTTACATTTATTGATAACATTAAGTGTTTACTAACAAATGCTGTTCAAGGTAAAGAAAATATAAAAGTTGTAAAGAGAATAAGCTTATGACTTTTAAATAAATCTTTTTATGTGTATATTTTATATCAGAGCTGCAAAATGGCTTTCTTGTTTGTAAATGTAAATATTTACTCCAATGATAAAACTATATTATAATATTTGAATATTTATTCAAGATTTTATTTATAAATATGTCAATGGTTTTAGAATAATTAGAATAATTAACATGTTTTAATTTTTATTTAACAATATTTTTTATTATAATAAAAACTATAATTATATAATCAAGAACTTTTGAATTTAAACAATATTTTAATATATTATTAACAATATTTTATTATCTTATAATATTTTTTATATATTATAAGAATAATTGTTTATTTACCAATAAATATCTAATTGTTTTTATATATTGGTTTTTAAATTAATCCATTATACAGAGTAAAGCTTTTTTGATAATTGCGATGTATAAATTTCAGATATGCAAACTTCAGACTGATTCATGATCATATCAAACGAGATAATTTTGCAAAAAATTACAATAATTAGAACCTGGAAACAAACAAAAACCTAAATTTTATCTCATGCATAGCTATTTAAATATTCTGTCCTAAATTTTATATTTATTGACAGGTTTTGTCAATGTAATTTAAAATCAATATTAAGTCAATGTAATTTAATATCAATATTAAGTTTATCTAATAATCTTCTAGTGCTCGAAAGTTGTAAAATTTAGAAATCTCTCATTTAAGAGGAATATATAACTTTCAAGCATAAAGTAGTTATTGTATGAAATTTGATTAATATAAGTTTAGTTAATAAAAAAATATTTTTGAACTTTTTATTTCATTCTTTAAAAATGTGTTAATAATATATATATATATATATATATATATATATATATATATATATATATATATATATATATATATATATATATATATATATATATATATATATATATATATATTATTATTATTATTATTATTATTATTATTACTATTATTATTATTATTATTATTATTAACACATTTTAAGTTTCTAATTGTGAATTACTTTTATTATAATTCTTTTGATAATATCATGTTTTTAGAACTTTATATTTCTTTTGTTTGTTTTTTTCTTGTTTTTTTTTTCTGTTATTTAAAAAAAAAAATACTTATTATGCTATCTTTTAACCAAAAACCTGTATGAGGTCTGCCCTTTGTCTATAAGTAATTAATAATATTCTGTCAGTTCTAGTCTGTCAGCTCAGTGTTTATATTAGCTTCTAAATATTGTGTAATAATTGTTTGGTGTTAAACACTAACCATTAGAAAGTTTGTCTTGTTGCTTTAGAACATGTGCACATATAGTTTTTTTGGTAGTACAATGTTACATATTTATTGAGTATCATATACCAAATTGTTTTTTAATTTTTAAATTGCTATTGTTTGAATATATATTGTATTTGATTTATTACAGAACAAATAATAGCCTAATGTCCAGTTCAAAAAAATCTAATACCAGTTCTAATAACAAAGTTTTGTCTAAAGCTAACAAAAGAAAATCTTCAGGATTGCAAGTAAACTTTTTTTTCAAACTCAAAAGTTTGTTGTAAAATATTGCAAACTTAAATTTGTGAATTGTTTAAAATTAAAAATTTACACTTATTGTAAATTAATTATAATTTTCCTTTTTCTTTTTAGAATCAAAAGTCAAATGATAAAAGGTTAGGATATTTAACTATTTTGAACTGTCTTATTTTATGTTATTTATTGAAAAGGTATCCAAATGATACAGTGCCTTAAAAAATTTCTACACCATGAAAACCCTACCCAACAACCTAATAAATTCATTTCTAAAAATGTGCAATATGGTAGTTGAGGTTGTTTAACACTCTATAGAATAAATATATGTTGTAACTATATAATATGTATATTGAATATAAAGCTATAATAAATAATATAATATATATGCATGTGCTTTTATGTATGTATGTATGTTGTATGTATGTATGTATGTATGTATGTATGTATGTATGTATGTATGTATGTATGTATGTATGTATGTATGTATGTATGTATGTATGTATGTATGTATGTATGTATGTATATGTATGTGTTTATGTATGTATATGCGTATGTATTTATTTAACTGCGTAAAAGATAAGTTGAGATAAATTTTTTTTTTTTGATTAGTTCGAATGGGTCACTTGCTTCAACAAAAGGTTTTCTTTGTTTTAATACCTTTTTTTACATTTTTTACTTTTAACTTTATTTTTTTACTTGTTTTTTTATAACATTTATTATAGGTATTCTGGTCTTTAAACTTACTTTATGTAAACTTTGTAATATAACAATATTGTAAATTTTGAATATAACAAAAGTCATTTGATTGTTTAGAGAGACTTTACTTTTGTTTTAAATAATATTATTCTGGTCTTGATATTTATTTAGCAATTTTTTAACACAAAACAATATTGGATTACATCACTTTATAACAATTTTTGAATTTTTCCAAAGGATATTTGATTGTTTAAAGAGAGTTAACCTTATTTGTGATTTTTTTGCTGACAATTTGGTTTAAAAGCTTTTATCAAATAGTGTTCAAGATTTATTTAAATACTTTTTTCTTTCTTATACTAAGCATTAAAGCGTTACATTGATTACTTTATAAAAAATAATTTAATAAATTTTTTAATAAATGTCACATTTTACTAATTTGAGCACAACATCCAGACAACATGATCTGAATGTTGTGCTCTAATCATAATACAAAATATTTATTTTAACATTCCTTTTAATGTATTCATCTCCTCAAGGCCAAAGTTGAGGTGGCTGTTGTTTTTTTTTTGTTTTTTTTTAAAATGTTTTTACAACCTCTCAACCTTGTGATAAGGAAACAAGTTCAAGGTGGTACTAGCAGGGATGTGGTAGAGCTTGAACTCTATTTCTCACTTACAAAGTAAGGCGTCTATCGCTGTGCCATTATGTTATGACTCAATTATGTCTTTTTTTCTTAATTTTTGTTTTTTTATGTTTTTTTACTTAAATTTTATACTATTTTATTTTTATATTATTTTTTTAAAAATTATTATTTATTTTTTGTTTTTTGTATAACTTTTACTTATATATTTGTTATTAATTAATTTGATAATGCATTTTAATTTACTTTAACTGTTGTATTTTTTATCAAATTAATTTAATTTTCACTCACAAACTTCATTTTTATTTAGCTGTTGGTCATAAAATGCAGCACCAGTTAAGTTCTGTTGGTCATAAAATGCAGCACCAGTTAAGTTCTGAAGAACTAAAAGTACTCCGCCATCAGGAGAGGGAACAAAGACATCAAATTGTAATTTGGCGACATCCATTTATCACCCTACAATATTTTTTTATGGAGTTGGTAGAACTTCTACGCAAGGAAAAACAAAGGTCATTTTATTAACAATTTATTACTAGTTTATTAACCGTGAGTCTAAGAGCTTTTTTAATATTCAAAATAATTTTTATACTTTTTTTTGTTTAAAAAAAAATCAATGAAATATAATTAATATAATTTAAACTACACATGATTTTCAATTTATGAAAACTAATTTTGGAGGTTTTCAAAATATAAAAAAATTTACAAATCTGCATGAGAACATTTATGTAGAGAGTTTTGTTTAAAATAAGCATATCTAAAGATCTTGTTTGTATAACATTTTTTGATTTCAATAACAAATTAAAGCAACCTTGCTTTGATTTGCACAAAACTGAGACAAATAAAATGGAATAAGTAGTTTTAATAAAATAAAAGTTTTTTTAAACATCTACTTAGCGAAAAAGTCATATCACTTGATCTATAAAGTTACAATAAAACAGGAAATAATTAAATTATAAATACAATTTAAGATGATATTTATATATTATTTTAAACTGTATTTAATTATGAACATTTTAAGTACTTATTAAAATGTTTTGAATGTGTATTAAAAAATTTATTTGAATTTTATTAAACATGTTTAAAAGAAAAATTGATAATTTTATCATATATTAAAGGTCAGCTTTTGGAAATGACTTAAATAAATTAATTAATATTATTATTATTTTTCTAATGTATAATTTTCGGGTGATTCCAGTTAGTTTAAAATGGATTTTACTCCCTTTATTTTTTTTTTTGCAAAACAGCCAAACTAGATTTTTTAGCTTATATTTTGCTTTGTTTGAATTCTTTACATTATCTGGTGTCTGATTCCAGTCATTTGAATAATACAAGATCATTACAATTTATTTATTAATGATGATTAAATTGCTGTTTTCATTAACAATAAAATCGTAATATTTAAAATTTTGTCTTAATTGTACAAGAGTTTTGTTTTGTTCATTTAGAGCCTAAAATAGGTTTGTTCATATTTCTTGATAATTCTTCAATGGCTTTATGGCGACAAAAAATTTTTTTTTTGCCATCTTCTTGGAAAATGTTTTATTTTGTGATTAAAACTTTCTTGAAATTCTTTTCTCTAGGGTCTTAATTAGACGTATTCAACAACAATTTTTCTTCTCTCAAAAATGCATTATCTGGTTTTCTTGTTCTTATTGTGTGAGTTGTATATGTGATAAAACCTGTGATGCTGCTTCGGTGAGCATATGCATAAGTTTGTAGAAATGTTTTGTGTTACAATTTAAACCTTTAATTGGTTTGTGTAAAGTAAATACTATGATAAATTGTTTGTAATATATGAAAACACATTTTTTAGTAAAAGATAAACTTTAATGAAAAAGTTATAGTTTTTATATTAGTTTTTGATACTAAGTAATTCTAAACTAAGTAACTAGGTAAGTAGATAAGTAATAAAAAGCAAGACTAAACTTGACAAATAATTCTAAACTGGGTAAGTAAGACTTAAGTAAGCACTTTTTGAAAAATTGATATGATAATATAAAATAATTTCAATATTATAGTGTGCTGATGCATAAGAAAACCTGTGCTACTCTTTTTCTTGGATCTCTACTTCTAATAATGGCTTATTTACTGGATGGTCCTCACCAGTTATTTGTGGAAAAGTTTGAAAAGCATTTTCTTTGGTGTGGCTATTGGGTTGGTTTAGGAGTGCTTTCATCAGTTGGGTTGGGTACTGGACTCCACACATTTCTTCTTTATTTGGTAAATATTTTTTTATTTTTAAAGCTTCATTGTTTTGTTTTGTCGTCACTTGTTGTCGTTACAGTTTTTATTTTATTTTATACATACTTAATCAAACCAGGTGGTGGAACAGCTATATGCAAATTTAATTTTTATGCCCAAATATTTTTTTCAAATTTATATTATATTTATTTTTAGGGACCTCACATTGCAAAAGTAACTTTAGCTGCATGGGAATGCAATTCATTAGATTTTCCTGAGCCACCTTATCCAAATGAGTAAGTTATAGTAAAAAATATGTTATTATATAGTATAATGTTATAAGTGCAGTATATATATATATATATATATATATATATATATATATATATATATATATATATATATATATATATATATATATATATATATATATATATATATATATATATATATATATATATATGTATATATATATATATACATATATATATATATTTATATATATATATATATATATATATATATATATATATATATATATATATATATATATATATATATATATATATATATATATATATATATATATATATATATATATATATATATATATATATATATATATATATACAATGAAGAACCCAGAGTTTATTTGGGGATACCGGTTTTTTTTCAGCAATGTTGAGGGGAGGGGCAAGGGAAACTATGTTTTTGATTTACCCCTCCCCTCATTCTCCTCTAGTTAAACGGGTGCCGCAATAATAATTTTTAATCATAATTTTCATAATAATCATTTATGTTTATCTTGTTCAGTTTGATCCTATAAAAGTGTGTTGATTTAAAGGCATTTTTTGAATACAAGAATTTACTGGTGGACAATGTTACTAAAGCTAAAAGAAAACTATTTTACTTAAGATTTAATAAACATAGTTTATATTATTTTAAATTTAAAATTCTGATTTAAATATCAGTAAATCTGTTCATTTAACTTTTACCAAAGGTAATAATTTTTTAAGTGATTTTAAGTCATCTTTTAAATTAAAGATAATTAAAGAGATAATTACAGTAAACGTAACTTTAAAAATATTCTATTGTTTTGATTAAAAACCATATTATATTTTTAAAAACATATATTTAAAAAAATATATTTTTTTAATTATTAAGAATAATTTAAAAAGTTACATTTGAATAAATAAACTACATTTCTATGGGTTATTTTAAACAGATCTAAATAAAACTTTTATTAAGTTATTGAAACCTTTTTTTTTATTGTTTTAAAAAAAATATTGAAAGGAAAAAAAACGTTCTGAAAAAGTTTATACTTCGTTTTTTACTTTTCCTCACATAAACTAAAATAGCAAGCTAAAGATCAATAGTTCATTCATTTAAAAATTAAACTTTCGCGATAGTTACAAGGATAGTTACAAGTTTGCACGATAGTTACAAGTTATTTTTTACTTTTGTTCATTTGTTATCAAAAGCAGTTTAGGGATTGTCCATAAAGTACGTACCCTCGGATAAGAAGAGGAGGTCTTCAAATGGCGTTTCTGAGATAAGTAGTTTAATTATAAAAGTATGGAGATACTAAATTTAAAAAAATATCATAAAATGTTGGGTTGGAAGGTAAAAAGCATAGCTACTTTTAGGGAGGTAGAGGGTACTCAAAAAAGCGCATGGCAAAATGCCGAAAAGGGGGTTAGCGAAAAAAGCGTACTTACTTTATGAACGACCCCTTACTCTTTTTTTTTTTTTTTTAGTTATCTTTGCTTCCAACAAGGCTGCAAGCAACCACTAATTAGTGTTGGAAGTTACTGGAAGAGAAAAGATGAAGATTGTAGAGCAAGATAACGATTGACAGACAACTTAAAAGATTGCAAATTATATGAATCAGGAAAGCGAGATGAAGGAAGTGAGTTCCAAAGAACTGATGTTCAAAGAAAAAAACTAGACGAGTAAGAGTTTTTGAAGCACTTAGGAACAGTAACAGAAAAAGGATGAGACTTAATTAAATGACGAGTAACACGAGAATGAATTTTAGTAGATAACACAAGAGATGCTAACTCTTTAGAGCAGTGCCCATTATAGTATTTGTAGAAAAGATAAAGAGAAGCAACATTATGACGATGTGACAGAGGTTAAAGGTTGGCTGCAAGAGCAGGTCCAACTATGTTTACAATGCGTTTTTGCACCTTGTCTAAAAGAGAAAGGGCATCATTAGAAGATCCGCCCCAGATATGGCAACAGTATTCCATTCAAGGTCAGATTTGAGATTTATAGAGATAGAGAATAGAATCCAGAGTAAGAAAGTGTCGAGCTTGATAAAGAGATGCAACTTTAGCAGATGCTAATTTTGCAACGGATTTGATATAATGTTTCCAAGAAAGATCAGAAGTAAGAGTTAATCCTAGAAGATGAAGGGTAGGAGACTCATCGAGTACATTACCGTTCATAAATATAGGAAGGTCTAAATTATTGCGATAACGATTGGCCGAAAAAAATTGAGTTTTATCTGAATTAAAGTTCACCAGCCACTGTGAGCCCCATGCTGTAGCAGAAGTGAGATCCTTTTCAAGCTCAGATGCCCCCTGCAAGCAATCAGAGGGAGTTGGCTTCTTATCGTGTCAAGAATAAATGGTAGTATCATCAGCAAACAATGCCACCTTAGATGTGAGAATATCTGGAAGATCGTTAATGTAAATTAAAAAGAGTATAGGGCCAAGGATTGAACATTGGGGAACCCCTGAGGTTACAGAAAAAGAAGAAGAGTGCTGTCCATCAAGGACAACTTTTATACCACGATTGGAAAGAAAGGATGCAATAATCTTAAAGATGTTTCCCGATACACCGTAAAAAGAAAGCTTATGGAGGAGACCAGCATGCCAAACTTTATCAAAAGCTTTAGAAATGTCAAGAGCAATGGCCTTAACCTCTCCACCTTTATCTAATGCGCAATAAAACCTATCGGTTATTACTGATAGCAAGAAGATCGAAATCCATATTGATGATTAGAAAGTAGGTTATGAGATTCGAGATGAGAGATTAAGTGTTTGTTAATTAAAGATTCAAAAACCTTGCTTATGATAGGAAGAAGACTAATGGGACGGTAGTTAGACGAATCAGATCGCTCTCCAGAATTTTTAAAAATAGGGATAACAGATGCTGCTTTCCAGCAGGCTGGAAAACAAGACTCTGATAAGCATTTGTTAAATAGTTTTGAAAGGATAGATGACAGCTCCGGAGAACACTTCTGCAAGACTATAACAGGTATGTTGTCCGGGCCACAAGCTGTAGAAGAGTCTAAGCGGGAAATCACTTTAGATACAGAAGCTGGAGTGATACGAATGTCGAGCAATGGATCAACCTGTTTGACGGCTATATCAGGTAGAACGCAACTAGTGGCATAATGAGATGATATTGATGAAAAGTTCTTGGCAAACAATTCAGCTTTGTCTTTAGGTGAGGTGACAAAGTCTGAACCATACAAAAGAGGTGGAATTACAGACTTGCCCTTATTATTGATACTTTTAAAGATTCTCCAGAAGTCACAAGAGCCTAATTTTTTGATGAAATACGAGATTTCATGATCTGAGAATAGCGGGCTTTGGCGTTAGACAAAACCTTTTTACAATGGCTCCTAGCAGTAATAAACAGACGTCTGTTTTCTGGAGAATTTTTTTGTTGATAGATATCGAAGTAATGGTTTCGATTGGCAATTGCAGCAGCACAATGCAAGGAAAACCATGGAGGAGAGTGAGGCTTGACCTGGATTTGTTGAGAGGGAATAATGGATTCAATGCCAGCCTGAATCCAGGAAGTTATGTAAGAAGCACATTTGTCAATAGGAAGATGAAAGATTTCTACCCAGGGGCCATCACGAAGAAAATTATGGAAAGAGTTCCTGTCAGCTTTAAGGTAGTTGTAAGATGTACCATGATAGGGGGATTCTGATGACAAAGAAGAATGAGATAATAGTTTTAGAGAGACCAAACCATGATCAGATGCACCTTAGGGTGAGTGTGGAGAAACTGAGCACTGACTAGGATCAGAAACAAGACATAAGTCGAGTAGAGAATGTAAATGATTCGAGTTATCTGGAAAGCGAGTTGGAAAGTTGACTATTTGAGTTAGGGATTGAGAGAGGCAAAAGTTGTGGGCCTTAATGCCTGCCTGAGTCACTGACACTAGAGCCAAGCCATTCAGTGTGATTAACATTGAAGTCACCAACAACAACAATATTGGCTGATAGATAAAGAGAGAGGGCTTGGTCAATATGATCAGAAATAACATCAAGAAGAGGGCAGTCTTGAGATGAGGGAGAGCGATAAGAGAAAGGTGATAGAGTGAAGTGGTGCTAAACGAAAGCACATAAAAGAGTAGTCTGTGGATTCAAACCTAGTTTCCCGACAAATGGGTGAATTCTTATGAATGTAAATGCCCAGGCCAAGCATGTGACTATTGGAGTCTTTACGAATTAAAGGAAGATAACCATCAACACTAAGATCACAAGATGAGACAGCTGAACTCAAATTAGTCTCACAAAGAGCAAGTAGGTCTGGTGAACTTTGCAAGAGATAAGACTCAACAGAAGAAAAGTTACTTCGAAGACCACGAATATTGGTGAATGATAGGTTTAGCGAACTTGGTGATGACTGTGGTTTTTTGTGTTTTATAGTTTTTGTTACTTTATTCATTTTTAAATTTGTTAAAGAACTTGACTCAAAACATAGATAGTACTCAGTACACTGTTTTATAGCTCAAGCAATTGCCTCATTTCCACTAATAAACCCTAAGCCGTAACAAAGGGCTCCAATGTGACCTTGGCAATGCACACCAAAAGTACAAACAGGGACACCATCCATGCGCAACATGGCACTGTTAGTACTCTGATATTTTTCAGCTGTTGATGGAATCAGCCTCTCTGAGAGCTACCACAGAGTTCGGGAAACCTGACTACCAGCCGGCCTCAGAACCATAAAACTGAGTTTTAGAGCTCTACCCTCATTTTGAAATAATAGAATGAGTTGCCTAGTCATAAAAACAGAGACACAAGCAAAACCCATGAATCGAGTCAAGAAGATCCAGCGTTCAACATCCTAAACTGGAAACAATGTATTAAAAATACATCTGCGCCAGCCTAATAGATGAAGAAGGGGTGCGAGGCTGGTCAACAGATAGAATCTGTTTACCCCTTAATTGCCAAAGACAAAAATCAACCTTACGCTGAATGGATACTAAAAAATGCCTTAACTTTCAAGCAAATCTTTTATACATTCCATTGTTATAAAATTTTGCAACATGGTTTTAAAATTTAGTTTCATAACAACTTTCATTTTTTTAAAAGTTATGTCCAGGTAATAACTGAAGACAAATTAAGTCACATAGTTATGTAAAAAAGCAATTTCTTTTTAATTCTTTTTATTTTCCTGAAGAAAAAATGAGGTAGCTAAATTAAACTGAGCATTATTTATATACTACTGCATTCAAAACTAATTTTTTTTTTTTTTTTATTTTTTCATTAAAAATCAAAAGAAAAATTAAAAATAACTTTTGGGCGCTTTTTTTTGGCCGCCCATACCGGTAAAACGGTACTAAAACATGTCTGGGTTCTTCACTGATATATATATAAATAAATAAATAAATATATATATATATATATATATATATATATATATATATATATATATATATATATATATATATATATATATATATATATATATATATATATATATATAGAGAGAGAGAGAGAGAGAGAGAGAGAGAGAGAGAGAGAGAGAGAGAGAGAGAGAGAGAGAGAGAGGGGGAGGGAGAGAGGGGGGGAGGGAGAGAGAGCAAAAGACTGTTTTTGTACTGTATAGTGTACTAGAGAGCATTTTAATTAAAAAATAACATGCATTAACATAAAAGAATGAAGAGGTCTTATAACAGCACTTATTTTAATACTTTGTTCCTTCAACTTTTAGAACAGCTATTCTTTGCCTAATTGTAGCAATAGGAATACTCTTAATATTTGGTAGCTAATTTATGTCGCCACATTTTCATTTTGACTTTTCTCAGGTCTTCTTGTGAATATGAGTTCTGTTTAGAAACTTCTGTTTTTAATTTTATCGTTTTCAGTGGATTTATAATCAGGTGACTTTCCCGGCTACATTGCAAGAACATTAACTGCATTTTCTTGGAACCATGCCTGGAGGCAAGTTGCTTTTAAATCTGAAACAATTTAGACAACTTGTTTTTTAAATTTTCCATGTAATTTGTGGGATTGACAGTCTTACTTTGTTGGCAAAGATTTGAGGCCCAAACATAATTGCTGACCATTGGTTAACAGAGGGTGCAATATATCAGAGATTGAAGCATGATTTTAATGACTGGCAAACATTGACTTTGTGTCCTGCTAACTGCTTAACTTGCACTTTTTCTGAGAATATGACAATTATATTTTTACAGTCCAATCCTTGTGTTCTTTGCAAAATTAGATCAATCACAATATTTTTTTTGAGAAAAACATGTCTTAAATCCAGCACGGTACAATCAAAGATTAAAGTTCTTGGCAAGGTGTTGGTTTTTGGATTGGTAATTCTTGGTCTTTTATTTACTGGATTGATTCTATCTGTTGACTTGATGCACTAAATGATATCATAAACAGACAAACTTCAAACATGCAGCAATCATTCAGACTTGTTGTCTTCCATTAAAAGTGGTACTTGTGCACGCTTGGCAAAGATGTTGAAAGTGATGTTACAAGTGATGTAGCAAGTGGTGTTGTAGTCAAATTCTAAGATAATGATTGAATTAAGTTACACATAGCTTTAATGTATATAGAAAATATAAGATATTTGATAACTATACATTCATCCATGCAATGCATGATTGTTTAGTATATTGGAAGCATGCATGTTTTAAATTTGTAAGTAATTATCTATATTAATTGTAACAGTTGTAATAAAGAGCATTCATATTTACACTATATGCGCATAAAAGAGTGTGGAAAGCAATAAAAGCAAGTGTGTTTATGTCATCACAGGTGTTGTGACAAGATATTTTTAAACTGCACAATGTTTCCAGGTCAACCATATATTGTATATTAAGTATAAATCTTAAAAACAAACTTTCGAATCCAATAAAAAGGAAATGGAAGAGTTTAACAAAATCTTTAATAAGAAAAAAATAGAAATTTTGCTGTAAGTAGAAACAAACTGGATAATAGGTTAGGGGTCATCCATAAATTATGTACGCTTTAGAGGAAGGGGGGGGGGGCTAGGCGATTTTGTGATGATTTGTTATGAGGGGGTGGAGGGGTCTTCGAGTTTGTGGTGCAACATTTTTTTTTAAGTTTTAAATCTAAAGACATTCTTTTAATTAAAAGAGTATCTGACCATACCACAACACTCAGTTGTATCTAGTTGATTGTAAAATCAACTACGCCTAAATCTTATTTAGTTGATGTGTATACTCTGTTAACGGAGTAGTTACAGTCTGTTAATAGACTGTTATAGCTGTAAAAGTCTGTACGCTGTGTACTTTCTGGGCTTTGACTTGGTTCAAGTGTAAAATTTATTTAGTTAGTGCACAAAAAACAACCTTTAACCACTTTAAAAAAAAAAAAAAAAAAAAAAAATTTTTTGTCACCAAGCAGAATCCACTCGGCCACGCTAACGTGTCTAATAACAAGAAAATTATATTTATAAAATAATAATTTCGCATGTTTATATCAGAAAGATAGCTATTTAAAATTGGGATGATGTTTAGGAAAGTGATCTTAATATGTATACAGTTTTACACAAAACTATTGGAGTGAAAAAGAAATAGTAAACAGACTAAAAAAAGTACTAATTAATTAACTCAAAAAAAGTTATAGACATTTAAAAACGTTTTAAATTTTTTTTTTTGGGGGGTTCAATAAAATGTTACGATGTGTCACGAGGGGAGAAGGAAAGGTGGTCAAAAAATGTCAAAAGTTGCGTGACATAATTTATGGATGACCCCTCATGTGAAAAACCAAACTAAGGTAGTTTTTTCATCAAAGGTTAGAAAAAATAGACTAAAACTTGTGATGATGCACCAATAGAATAAGCTGTACTTGTATCAGATTTTCAAAATGATGATGATTAGTCTCTCTTTATGAATATGAAAAAAGTTGTTACTGTTGCTGTTGTATTACTAGTAAAAAAAAGTGAATTTAAGTATGTCAGGGTATGTAGTTGAAGTGAATTTAAGTATATCGATAGGTTTTTATTGAATTTTCAACAATACTACAAGTATTATGTTGGACATTAAAAATTTTTGTTGATCTAAGTAGTGCCAGTAGTTGCATTCTGTTCCTTAGTGCTGACCAGTTATTCAAAAATTATGTAATTTTCTAACAGTAAATTCAATGAACATTGGGTTTTCTGTCAATAATTTCATGTTTAACTCTAGCTGTTAAAAAATAGTTAAGAACCAAGAAATATTTTCTTTAACATTGGAAAGATAAGTGCAGTACATGTCATAATGTGTATTGGGTATCATGAAACACACTGAACTCCCACAAAATATCAATAAAAAGGTTTTAGCTCTACAACAATTTATCAAAATGAAGTATTGATTAGAACTACTGAATATTATCAAATATTTTTTATTTGAAATAAATAGTTTTGAAATTTGCACCTTTTTTGAGATATGGGAAAAGTTTTTTTAATAAAATCACAAATGAATTATCTTAGTAGAACATGATCAACAAGATTTTATAGTTTTTTTTTTTTTTTGATGTTCACTTTGCCAAGGCTCTAGAAGGTGGTCCATTTAAGAAAGTACTCACTATATAATAAGTAGGTCTCTCAAACGGATCACCTGCAAATGATTTGTAAACACTTTCAGATTAGTAGTTAGGCCGGCATTCGACAATGCCGGCCTAACTACTAATCTGAGGTCGGCAAAAAATATACGACCTCATTTCTATGGTTTATGGTCAGATCTTAGTATGAAATAATTTTTGCTGGCCTTGAAAAGTTGTATATAATATATATATATATATATATATATATATATATATATATATATATATATATATATATATATATATATATATATATATATATATATTATTTACAACTTTTTTTAACCTTAACCTTCGAAATACAAACCTTGTTAAAGGTTGCTGAGCAAAGAAACAAATTTAGTTTGGTACTTAAAGAGAGGTAGGATGGATTTGTATCTCAATTCTCTTGATTGTTAGCAAAGTGTTTTATCACTTGTTTGCTATCACATTTTTTAAATTACCTGATGAAAGGTGATTTAAAAAGCTATTTTAAAAAATTTTATTAGATTGTTTGTGGCGCCAACTATTTTGAAAATAAAAGTTAATTAAATTTTAAAAAACAAGATTTTTAATATTTATAATTTTTTTTTTATAATTTGATTATTTTATTGTTAAATCTCTTAATACTTATAACTCTTAATACTTATAATAATACTTATAATCTTTTAAATACTTATAACTTTTGTTAAAATCATCAGGGTTTTTTTAAAGCAATTTTTTAAACTTTTCTTTTTAAAGCGTCATTTGCCCAAGTACAAACAGTATTTCATCTGAAGTTGACATGTTTACAATTATGGCAAAAGTCAGATTAGAATCTGTTATGTGGGTATGGTTTATTTTCATATTAGGTTTGGTTGTAAATCAATGTTATCATTAAAATCGATAATTAGTGATCATTTAAATGTTAGGGAGCGGGAACTGCTATTGGAGAGCTTCCACCATTTTTTATGGCACGCGCTGGTAAGAGGAGGATAAGTTTTATTTACAAGTATGTCTTTGATCCTGGTTTCTTTATAGATGCTGTTTTCTGTTCTTCATTTTTAATAATTTTTTAATAACACTTTAGTGTGTAACTTTTTTGTTTTTTTTAAGCACGATTGTCTGGTGAGGAAGATCCTGATAATGAGGACTTAGAGGAGCTTGAGGATTTAATAAGTAGTGAAGATACAGTGAGTACTAATATAATGGGAATATTATTAATATTAGTGTTTTGTTAGTTTTTTCTAGTTCTGTTAACCATATTTTTATTTGTGTTCTTTGTTTTTTTATTTTTGTTATGTGTGGGGATTTATTTTTCTTAAGTATGTTTTCATTTTTGTTAAAAGATAAGTTTAAAGAATCGTACATTCATTGTAGGGGCTTTTCACACGATTAAAAAAAGCTGTACCAAAAATAGTTGAAAAAGTTGGATTTCTTGGAATACTTGCATTTGCTTCTGTAAGTTTTGCTTTTTGTTACATTCTTAGTTTACATTTACAAATGAAACAGGTTTAACTAGGACATAAATTTTTTTTTATTTTTGTTTTTTTTTAATTTTTTAATTTTTTTAAAAGATGTCTACTCTCAAAAATCTAATAATAAATCAGCAGTGACCCTGATTGTATTTATATTGCTGCAATTAGTCCTTTGCTTTGACCAAAACGTCAAGGCTAATAGTCCTTCGCTTTGACCAAAAACTCAAAGCTAGACAAAGTAAGTTACATCCATGTCAAAGTGTGAAAAAAGTTAAATTAGATCTCTTCTTGATAATGTGTGAAATAAACTAGTTCATTAAAAGTCTTTTGCTGATTTGTTTAGCATTCCTCAAGAAATATTTAATTAAAAAAAAATTAAAACACTCTAGTCAGATCTTTACCCAGCAAATGGAACTGGAAATAATAAATTTCACCTTTATGTCTTTAAATTGTAGTAAAAGTTTTAATTTTTCTATGTTCCTTTTCACCAAAAAATCTTTTAACAAATATTTTTCCAAATTTCAAAAAAAGACCAAAAAGTTTCCTTACTATTATATACTATAGCGTATTTATGTAACAAACTGTTACCCTATTTTAGTTACATTAATTTATATGATATTTTCAGATAAAGAAAAAAAAAACAAAGAATAATGAAAGAAGAGAATGCTGCCCCAAGCCAAACTTTTAAACAATGTAGCAGCACTCCTTTGTGGCAACAGGCTATAATATAGTCTATGTATATACTGAAGCCCCTGGCACCAGGCTATTTCAGTTTGATTTCAGAGTGCTTATCTAAACATGCAATCACAGTTGCTACCCCAACCCAACCATAACTAAAGAGTTGATGTAGCAGCAACTCACTTTTATGTTCTCTTTATATAAATCAATTTATCTACTGAAGCCCTCACGGTTCCCTAAATCAATAAGGCGTCAGAGTTTTTTTTTTTTTTTATTGTTATAAATCAAGTAATCACAATATAAATTTATTACAAAATAATAAAAACAAAAAAATTACAAACTAAAATATTTAAATTAAAGCAAGTGTTCATTTGTATTAACAACAAAATTGGCAAAATAAACAAACCACGAAAATAAAGTTAACATTAAAAAAAAAAATTAATATTTTATTGACAATCCTATTGCTTTTAAGCATTCATTGATATCTTTCAGCACGGAAGCATTCATTGAGTTTCAGCATGGAATTCATTATTAAGCATTCATTGAGTTTAAGCATTCATTTCTTATATTTCTTGTATTTATTTGTAGTACTCTTCTAATTGTTTGAATACTGCCAACAACATCAGAGATCAGTAGGTTTCAATTATATTGTACTTTTAATATTGACTGGTTATTCTGCTAAAAGTTACATGTGTTGTTTTAAAATGTTTTTCAATTTCTCTTGTTTTTTCATTCATTACTATGATTTTAAATTTTGTTATATTATCAATAATTTTTTCAGTCAATTTGGTTTTTGTTAAAATATTGTAGTTCATTAGATACTCATTTTTCTATTTCATTTTATGCAAATTTTTTTAATATTTATAACAATTTAAATACAAATTCTCAGATAATTATAAATAATTAGCAAATGAGTGCAAAGTTTTAAACAAAGAGAAATGAAATTTTGAATGAAGTTTGAAATAATAGAGTGGATTGTTACTTTTGGCCATTATAATTATTTTAGGTTATTAGATATATATCAAAAAAAGCAATATAATTAGCACATCAAATAATATTTTTATGAATATAGCGTGTACATGAAATTAATATGAAAGAGTAACTATATCATTTTCTTTCAGAGGTTGTATTAAAATATTTCTAATTGTGTTCATATTTTTTTGGCAACATGTAACAATTTCAAAATAATGTTTTAGTTTTCTCATTTAACTTTAAATAAGTTTTAAAAATGACAAAAGAAGAAGACATTAAAAAATATATTTTGCACAAATATTATGGAAAATCTAAATAGAAGCTACAATTCATTTGCAAAAAAGTTGCAAATAGATCCCTACACCATTATTAAAGCGTGTACACAAAATAAATGTGAAAGAATTAGAAAGTCATTTTTTTTCAGTGGTTATATAAAAATATTTTAAATTGTTTTGTATTTTGTTTACAACGTGTTGTGGTTTTAAAAAAATGTAGTAGTTTTTTGATTTAACTCAAAATTAGTTTTAAAAAAGACAAAAGAAGAAGACATAAGAGAAAAAATTATGCACAAATATTTGGAAAATCCAGGCTTTCACAGGAAGACATGCGATTTCATGTCTTTATATGACCACGCAAAAAAAAAAATGCTTTAACGATTTGACCACGGCATGTTTTTAAAATTTAAAAACGCGCTACAAAAACTTATCTGAAAAAAAAATTTAAAAAAATAATAAATATTAATGAAAGAGAAAATTAAAAAAAAAAAATACTTAGTTAAAGCAAAAACACACAAAAATAAATATATATATATATATAACGCAACTAAAACAAAACTCATCAAACTAAAATGCTTAGTCTATTTAATTTACGCATTAAAAAACCTTTTTAATCTTTGTTTCAACATTTTTATATATTTTTTATTTGTTTAATATGTTCAAAATTAAATATTTCTCATAAAAAATACATAGTTATATAAATAAAATAAAAAACATTTTATAGATTTTTTTTTACTTCATTAAAAGCGTTTCGATAATAAAAAAGCATTTAAGATCAAACTTATTAAATTGTAACGGTTTTCTAAAACTTTTTTTTTAACGAAATTTTGTTTATCTTTTTAAATGCATTAACTTTAATCATTCTTATATTTAAATTCGTTAAAGAGACTTTCGTAGTCGTAGAATGTCATCGTTTATATAAACAAAACAATTTTTTATTTTTTAATAAGATTTGTTTTAGAAATGAACACTTAAACAATTTATATGTTTTAAATTAAAAAAATATACACAACTGTCATTTATATTTAAAAACCAAAACTTTTTTTCAGTAAATTGTTACTTTATTTAAAATCGTTTCGCTAATATAAAAACATTTGTTAAGAAATTTTGATGTAATTAATTTCACTTTTTTAGAATATTTTTTATTTAGTGCGTTTCTAAGATGTTATTTGAATTAGCCGCGGTCAAACCGTCATAGCAAAATGTAACTTGCGTGGTCATATAAAGACGTGAAATCGCACATCTTCCTGTGAAAGCCTGAAAATCCCAATAATAGCTACAATTAATAGCAAAAGCGTTGCAAATACATCCATACACTGTTAGTCGTGTAATCCAAAGTTTTTCTCAAACAAAATCAATCAAACGTAAATCTGGTGGTGGAAGAAAGAAGGTTTTTAAGGCTTTCACTAAGGGAGCATGCAAGCATTTATGGACTTTCTAATAGTTTTGTTGTAAAAGTTCGAAATAAACATGGTTTTTATTCTTTTAAAGCACAAAAAGTGCCCAACCAATCTGAAACTCAACAAAAAAGTGCAAAAACCCACTGTTTTTTAAACACCGGGTTTTTGAAAGAAAGTTATATGACAATTTTATTTCTAAAATGTTCTTTATTATTGGAGACAATGAAACTTATATCAAGTACGATCATCAGCAAATTCCTGGTACTGTCTATTATATTGACAAATGTAGAGCAAAAGCAGATAAGAAATTTAAATACATAAAACATGACATTGCAGCTGTGGCAAAAAAATCAGAACCTTATATTTCTCAGTCCACACTTTCGGGTCAAATATATTATAAAGAGTGTTTACAAAAATGCCTTTTAGCTCTCATTAAATCACACAATAAGAGACCTGTGTTCTGGCCAGATTTAGCTTCAATTCATTATTGTAAACTAGCTTTGAATGGTATAAAAATAATAATGTGAAATTTGTGCCTAAAACAGAAAATTCTCTTAACTGCCCAAAATTAAGAGTTATTGAAAAGTACTGGGCCATTATTAAAAGAAAAGTGAAAAAAACAAAAAAATTTTGCAGAAATATTAAAGATATTAAAATATCATTTAAAAAAGCATCGAATGGCTTCAATTCTTATTCTGTACACAAGCTAATGGGTACCACCAAAACAAAAGTTCAAAATTTTATTAGATTCCCACAGGAATAATTTTTTTTTTTTATATTTAATCTTCTTATATTATTGTATTAAAGTTATTACTTGGTTGAAAATAAAAATTGAAGAGTACTTTTTTTTAGTTGTTTTTCTACTTTCACATTTATTTTGTGAACACTCTTTACCCTTTATCTTTTTCTTTTATTTATTTGAAAGAAAATAGGATGCTTATTAGTATGCACTTTTTATATTTAAAACGAATCAAACAATCGATTTAATATTAATCATAGTCAAATAATATTTAAAAAAACATGCTGGATTGAAATATGACCATACATACATACATACATACATACATACATACATACATACATACATACATACATACATACATACATACATACATACATACATACATACATATATTTATATATATATATATATATATATATATATATATATATATATATATATATATATATATATATATATATATATATATATATATATATTTATATATATTTATATTTATATTTAATATATATACTAGCAGTAAGCAACCCGTAATACGGGTTATTAGTAATTAAATAATTGGTTACGGTTACCAACAAAAAAGACTACGTTAACATCCGTAAAGTTCTTTTTAAGATCTGTTACAACACAGCAGGTACTATAAAAAGAAAGTCAAGTAAAGCCTTCCAATGCCTAAAAAAAAGGAACGAAAAATAATTACAAAGTATTATTTGCATTTTATTGTTGATAGAATGAAGATATAACGACTTAAAAAAATTGCTGTAATAGCCCAGTTCTATCAACACAAAACACATTAACAATAGCGCATAGCATAAGATATTTGTAAGCACACATTACTATGTCTGTCCAAAATGATTAAAAAAGAAAAGATTATATAAAGGCTAGACAACTTAACGTAGTAAATAACGTAATAACG